GACCCTCAAGCCAAAAGCTGTTTGTATTGTAACTCTACACAGCATTTTTTTTTTTTTTCCTGGATTTCTTTGACTTTTTTTTTTTTTTTTTTTTTTTCCCCACTGGGACTGCTTGGAACCCTGTCCGGGGTTCATGCCCGGCCAGGCACCCGGGTGTGTATCCAGGCACAAACAAGATGGGTGCCCGGGCGCCCAGCAAAACAGCCTAGATTTTGACTAAATTTGCGAATTTTGAACTCGCGCCATTTTTGTGTTTTTTTCTGCCTTTTCGAACTCAAAACCTCCTCCTGCGTCCACCGTTGTTTCTTTCTTTTTTTTTTTGAATTTTGATCAGTTACCTAAAAAACTTTAGTAATAAAAAAGGGCAAGTTTCAAAAATAGCCCGTTCGCGGCAGTTTCACAGCAAAAATAGTGGCGGGGCCCAAGTTTCGATGCAAAAATACATCTTTCGTTGCGGCTTTACAGGCCCCGGAGACACGCTGTCCCACTTTCATTGAACGAATACGTCTTTTGGACCCCGAGAACGTTTCCGCTGGGGGACTCTAGTAAATATGCCCCGAGAACGTTTCCGCTGGGAGACTCATAGTAAATATGCCCCGAGAACGTTTCCGCTGGGAGACTCATAGTAAATATGCATGGGCAGCCAGGACAGGTTAATTACTTTGGCAAGTTAAATAAACTCAGTAACATCAATCCAAATGACAAAAAAAAAAAAAAAAAAAAAAAAAAAAAAAAAAAAAATAAGAAAAAAAAAAAAAAAAAAAAAAAAAAAAAAAAACATAAAGGAGTTGCGGGACACAAGGGTACGACTGCTTCTTCACTAGCTTCTTTCCCCGAATACAGCATACTGCCATTATAGCTGTATCCGGGGTATCGTTCAGTCTAAATATATAGTAATAATGACCATCCGTTGTATTCGGACGAAGAAGGTAGTCTGATCTCCCTGATTTCTCTTCTGGGCCCTTCCCTATTCCCTTTTTTTTTTTCTTCTGCCCTCCTTTTCCTGTTACCTCAGTCTGTTTGTCGGTGTCCGGTCCTGGATGCTCCTCGGTGATAAGCAACTGGACTGCTGCCCCCCAGAAAAGAAGGGTTTTTTTTGCGTCGGGTATTAAAGAAAAAGAAAAGGAAAAACTTTCAAAAAAAGGAACAAGCTTCATAAAGAAAGTTACGAAACAACGAACGAAAAAAAAAAAAAAAAAGCGAAACAACGAACGAGAGTTGATGGGCTGCAGCGAGTGAGTGAGTGCACACCAACCTCGTCCCAGATGTCGAATCTGGTCCCCACAAGATTGGATCTGGTGGTCCCCATGAATCCATCTTCTGTCTCATACCCAGCAATGCTGCTCCCAGGCATTACCACCTTCAGCTCAGTTCGGCCACCTCGACGTCGTTCATGCGCCACGAGAAGCCTGCGGTCCTGTCGTCCTTGCCCTTCCTGATTCAGATGGACAGCCAGACAGCTATCATATTTTTATTTTTTTACTGACCAGCATCCAAAGAAAGAAGAGCCACTCAGAATGGCTCCAGCACTACCCGGCCCATGTGGTTGAATTGTACACTCAGTGTCACTCACCATGATGTAACTCGGCTGATAAACAGGTCGTGAGTTCGAATCTCGAAACAAACGGTACTTCGCCGCCCACACATTGGCGGCGGCCAAAAATAGAGCTGCAACGTTTCCCCTCGACTGAATTTGGACCAGAGCCGCCAAGCCCGTTCGGCCCGCTGGTGGAGATGCTGTACCATTAAGATGAGAGTAAGGATTACGGCTGGCTCAAAGGTCCATACTTCACAGACACCAATGGCGTCAAACAGCATATTCAAACAGACATCACCACCTACTGGGAGGAGCACAAGAGTCCAAATTGGACCTCCTCCACCCTAACAAAGAAAAATCCAATTGCTTATACGAACGATTCAACAGAAACTGGCTTGGCGGCGACCAAGGGGGCTGGTTGGGAAGCGTGGTATGGGGAGGGGGAGGGCAACTAGTAGGGGAAGGCCAGGGGAACATTGCCGGGAACGATCACCTCGCCTTTGACAAATGGGACACGGGTTGACCCAATCGATCCCTCTCCATCGTGCCTCAGATTTCCCTGACCCTAATCCAACGATAAGGAGAAGATGGGAGATTCTGAAGGTGTTGGAGGGTAGCGAGAGCACACATCTCACAAAGATGCCATGGAGCAACTCTAAGACCCTATTATGGCCAATGAAGATCAGAAGTGTCCCTACCAGAAGGTGGCTAATTTCTTACGTGTCCCTGCCAGTCAACCAAGCACAGGCTGAACATAACTGTTACAAGGAAAGACGGCGGCGATACGAACAGTCCCGGCGTCCTGATCAATGCGTAGTCTGTCCCATGCACAGGATCAAGAAGACATTATCTACTGCCCAACTACCGTCTTCACCTGAATGGAACGCCTGGTCATTATCGCTGCATCTGGACAGAAAATGGCCCCAAATTTGGCTATAATGACCGGGCGTTCTATTCGGGTGAAGGCCGTAGTTGTCAAGAAGCGAACCGAGCTGTGGGCCACGCCTTTTTCGCTTCGACCTTCCATGAACACCCACTTCAGGTGATTCTCTGAGCTAATCTAACCCCCCCTCATTTGAACAAGCCCAAAAGGTTGGGAATTTGGCATGATCACAAATGTGGGATCATGGTGGGCAATCTGGAAAGGAGAGATGCAGTATAACGCTCGATGAAACCAGAGATCTGTGCTATGAAGATGCTCTGTGCCGCTTCCATAAAGGAGTGAATAGAAGCGAATAGAAGCCGAAATAAGGTGTAAGTGAAAACAGACAAAGAGAGTCGCAACTGAACCCTCAGAACCGCGACCTTTGTTGTTTTGACTTATATAACCGCAACCTTCGACCAGTCGTTCTACAAGCTCCTTGATAGTAAAGGAGCTTGCATCCTTCTACAAGCTCAGTCAGCGGAGAATGAGTCTCGGGTGTATCCTTCTTCGGTATGTCACAATCAGGGCCGCATTTGACGCATAGATTTGGCAAAAGAAGAGAAGATCAAGGCCGCATTCAACGCATTTGGCTAGCCAACGGTGAAGTGGTGACAATCGACGGTCTTCACCTGTGGTGCAAAGATTGGCATTACTCGCAGAGCTTGTGCAGATCAGCACCGGGGACCACGCAGGAAGATGAAAACCCAATCGGAGTGTGAAAAAGGACGGACGGATGGGGTCTAGAACTGGCTTCCTGGGAGGAGGAGGTTGTCATGAAGAATGTGAGGAGGGTCCGCTCATTTTTTTTTAATAAGACCAGTCTCAGTCTGCTAGGCGGGGTGATAAGAGCACCTCCCCCTTGTAGCCTACTGATGGGCGCTCCAATCTATTGCTGGGATATACACCTGCTGGAAACCGGGGTCAGCGTCCCACGTACAGCAAAAAAAACATCTGGCTACACTGGGAGGCATTACCCGACTTTGGCTCTTAAGCAAGTAGTGAGCTGGGGGTGGGAGGGTGGNGTATGGGGCTGTGTGACTAGAGAGGCAGGGGGGGGGGGGTGGAGGGAAAGGTGCTTAAGTACGGAGTGCTGACTGGTCAGAATCCACCGCTGTTTGTCTACAGACCCCGCTCTGTATTCAAATGTCTGCGTTCGAACCCCGGTCTGTATTCAAATGTCTGGTTTGAACTTAGAATCCGTCGATGTTTGCGGATGGAGCAGGGGTTTCAAATACAGAGCGGGGTTCGAACGCAGACATTGGCTGCTGTTCGAGTACGAAGTGGATGCGGTCTCAAATAGTACAAATACAGAGCAGGGCTTGGACACACACATCTGCTGCTCGTCGAATACAGAGCAAGGGGTTTAAGCACACAGATTTGCTGCTGTTCGGATACTGAGCAGGGTGTGAACACAGACACATTGGCTGGGGTTTGAATACAGAGAGGGGTTTCAAAACTTTGAACACAAACATTTGCTGCGGTTTGAATACAGAGTGGGTTCGAAGCTTGAACTTCGAACACAGCCATTTGAATCCACAGACATAATAGTTTTAAATTAGAGGCCGCCAGCTTTACACAGCCGGCGGCTGGAAATAGCAAGGACATACATAGCAGGCGGAGCAGGTTGTGGTCTTTCATTCTCTCCTGGGTTCTGCAGCACACAACAGTTTCCTGCCACCTCTCTCTGCTGCAGCCAGCAGGCAGCTAACGTGTGCTCATCAGAGAAGAAAAGAAACGGTGCGGATTACGGGGTAAGTATCTGTCCAAATAAGTTAGGCCCAACAGTGGTTAAGCACCTAGATTGTTGTAGAACTGGTGCAGTTTACGGCTTTTACTGTGGTGCAGTTTACGGATTTTACTGTGGTGCAGTTTACTGCTTTTAATGTGGTGCACTTACCTGCTTTTAGTGTCGTGGAGTTTACTGCTCTTACTGTGGTGGCGCAGTTTAGGTGCAGTTTACTGGGTTTACTGTGGGGGCGCAGTTTACTGCTCTAAGACTGCTTTTACTGCGGTGCAGTTTACTGCTTTTACTGTGGTGAAGTTTGCTGCTTTTACTGTCGTGAGGTTTACGGCTTTTACTGCGGTGCAGTTTACTGCTTTAACTGTGGTGAAGTTTACTGTTGTAGCAGCTCTTACTGTGGCAGTTTACTGCCACAGTAAACTGCACCACAGTAAAAGCAGTAAACCACACAATACAACTGGTGCAGTTTACTGTTTTCACTGTTGAGCAGTTTACTGCTTGCATTGCAGTGCAGTTTACTGCCGTCGAAGCTGTTACTATGCAGAGCTGCATTACCAATCCAGCCAGGAAAAAGATAAATAAAAAGAAAGGTTCTCAGATTGTCAATCTATTAACCCTCCATAAAAAAAATTAAAATAAAAAAATCTAGCCCTCAAGATTTTCAATTTAAGGGAACTTGATTGTCAATGTGTAGACGATAAGACAATCATTATCGTTATTGTCGTCGTTATTGTTGTCATTATTGTTGTCGTTATTGTCGTCGTTGTTGTCGTCGTTGTTGTCGTTGTTGTTGTTGTTGTTGTTGTTGTTGTTGTTGTTGTTGGTCGTTGCCGTCCTCGTCCTCGTCGTCATCTTTCCATCGTTCTGTCTCTTCCTCCTCTTCCTCCTCCTCCTCGTTGTTGTTGTTGTTGTTGTTGTTGTTGTTGTTGTTGTTGTTTTGTTGTTGTTGTTGTTGTTGTTGTTGTTGTTTTGCATTTCAAAACAGTGAAGCGTAAACACTACTAATTTACAAAACAATGATTACAATTTTGATAAAATTTGGGTTGGAGATTGAGGAGGAGGAACGGGCAGCGATTTCTGTTACCAGTCCAGACTCCTGAGGGCATATGCGCCGCACTAGGACTTTCCTAGGAAGTATCGGGATGGAATTACAGCCTGACCTGGACGTATCTGACCACAATTACGTACATAGCACAGTCAAAAAACCCTAGTGTGAGTCTGCTCTGAGACTACTTGCAGCTTTTCAGCTTCACACCCATTCTCCGAGAGTCTTGCGAGGATCCCTGACATCATCATTTATTGTTCTTTTTTATCTTTGGTTTCAACTTCGAAGTTTGAACGCCGTTGTTGCTTAACCACAGCCGGGGTTAAGGTGGATTATCGGTTACAGTGTAATCAGCTAGGGGATTCTGCTGACTGCTGCGGGTTCAGCCTCTACTGATTGATGAGTCGGTGAAACTCCAACGAAAGAGTTTGTCACAGCCCCTCGTTTATTGTCCTCTTCTCCCTCTCTGCCGACGGTTCACCAGGCAGTTCATGTCGTTAAACAGAGCTGCCCGATATATCGTCAAACAGAGCTGCCCGATATATCGTCAAACAGAGCTGCCCGATATATCGTCAAACAGAGCTGCCCGGTAAACCGTCGGGAGAGAGGGAGAAGAGGACAACAATGAGGGGCTGTGACAAACTGTTTTGTCAGAGTTTCACCGACTCATCAGGATACTGATTCCTCAGCAGTCTGCAGAATCCCCTAGCTGATTACACTGGAAGTGACATTCCACCTTAACCCCGACTGTGGTCAAGCATCAATGACTGCCCGACAACTGATACACTGAGGTGGGCACCAACAATTGCCCTCAAGGTACCTGTGACAAAAATCAAAGCAGACTATCACTCACCCACACCAGATGGAAAACTCTACATACACATCTAGATGTGTATAAGAGACAGCCAATGTTCCAAATGAGACCAAATTTGGTACACAACAACCTTGAACTAAGACAAAAACAGGCAAAAAAAAAAAAAAGGACAAGGGTGAGGGGGGGAAACAGGCATTTAGAAGGATTATCGAAGGATGGTGGAGGGAGCTGCGCGTGAAAACTTACATCGGTGAGCAATGTGAACGTTGACGCTCGATTTCCTTTCTTATCCATGTCCTGCATGATGTAGCAGCAGCAGTAGCCCACGTCAGAAGGAAGAGGTCGCCAGATCAGGGCTCTGCGGCAGTATTGATGACGACAAGTGCCACACATGCCACACATGCCACACATGCCACACATGCCACACATGCCACACATGACATCGCGGTTTCATTGTGAACAGGTTCCACTTTTCAAGCTGTGCATCAACATTCCTTCTGCTTGTCTGTCTGTGTATGGATAGCACCAGGGACCTGTTTAGGCTCTGTTCTTCATAGTGGGAGATTCAACCTATATCAAGGACCACCAAAAGGACACTTTAGAACACAATATACCTTTTTATCGGCCTTTTGTCTAAAAATAGACCAACTGTGGTATCTATTATGTGCTCAGTTCAAAATTCAAATATCTGATCCATGGGCAATTGGGCCACAGGAAAAAAAAAACAAAAAAAAAAACAAGGACACGGCGGAACTTATCAGCTAGGGGTGACTTAAGTTAACGGAATGCAGTATTTCGGACAAACAAACAAATGAACAAAAAACAGACAGATGCATGAATGAACAAACAAACAAAAAACAGACAGATGCATGAATGAACAAACAAACAAAAAACAGACGGATGCATGAATGAACAAACGGACAAACAGATGGATGCATGAATGAACAAACGGACAAACAGACAGATGGACAGACAAACAACTGAATGAACAGACATGCGGATAACTGCATGAATGAACGGACACAAACAAATGAATGAACAAATGAAGAAACAGACGGATAGATGTATATGAGTGAACGAACAGGCCGGCGGGTAAACGAGCGAACAAACCAACTAATGAACGGAAGAATGAGGGAATGAATGAAATGAATGAACAAATGAACGAATGAACGGACGAGCGAACAAACAAACAAACGGACGAACAGGCGACTTAATGAACAGACGACCGGATGAATGTGCGTAAATGAACGAACAGACCATCGGGTAAACGAACAAGTTAACCAACCAAAGAATGAACGAATGAGGGAACAAATGAATGAACAAACGGATGAAGAAACGAATGAACAAACGAATGAAGAAACGAATGAACAAATGAATGAACAAACGAATGAACAAACGAATGAACAAACAAACAAACGAATGAACGAGCGGACAAATGGGCGATTGGACGGACGGATGAATGAACAGACAAATGAATAAATGAACGAACGAACGAACGAACGAACGAACGAACGAACGAACGAATGGACGAATGATCAAACAAAGGGATTGACGGATGAAGAACCGACAAATGAAGGGATGAGTGAGCAAACGAATGGATGAATGAACAAAGTTCTTATCGCCAAGTACCTGCAGCTGTGGGGAAACCTTTGTTCCATCTTACTCAGCCTGAAAGGCACAGCACCAGACGGCAAATGAAGATTAAAGTCTAGCAATAAACTTACAGATGCCTCCCTACATCCCTCTCTCCCTCCCCCACCATCTATATCCCTCCTTTTCCAACTCCCTCAATCGTTCCATCTCTCCTCAATCGTTCCATCTCTCTCTCTCTCTCTCTCTCTCTCTCTCTCTCTCTCTCTCTCTCTCTCTCTCTCTCTCTCTCTCTCTCTCTNCTGAGAGTTGGAGTAGGCAGCAGGCCCTGTGCTGGGCTAGTGGGAGACAGCAGGTCAGGCTTAACTGGGCTAGTCCAGGTAGGGGGGGCTGAACGCCCTGCCACCGACGCCCGTCTGCAGATGCAGTAGGGTGAGACATTGACATTTCCATTGGAGCATCATGATGACTTCAGTTGTCAAGGCCATTCCACCAATGGCCGCTGTGTAATTTGATTGATTGTATTGGATTGGGGAAGGGATCTAAGTGTCCGATAAGCGCAGGCTATACTCAACACCACCCACTTCGTGGCCTTGGATACATTGTATGTGTCTGCGAGAATCTCAAAAAGATTCCCAAGATATTCATAGTTCTTCTTCTTCTTTTTCTCCTCCTCTGTTTTAGTAGAAAGGATAGAACCTCTCTTGGCTTTTCCAGCTCTTCATTTCTTTTGGAGTTATGCACAAGGGGGCGCTGGATCCAGTTTCCAACCAGGCTGATGAAGAAGACGAAGAAGACGACGACGATGACGATGACGACTAAGAAGAAGAAGAAGAAGAAGAAGAAGAAGAAGACAAAGGCTTTTGGAGTTATGCACAAGGGGACGCTGGATCCGGTTTCCAGCCAGGCTGACGAAGAAGACAAAGAAGACGACGACGACGACTAAGAAGAAGAAGAAGAAGAAGAAGAAGAAGAAGAAGAAGAAGGCAAAGAAGAAGAAGTAGAAGAAGAAGAAGAAGACGAAGGCAAAGAAGAAGAAGAAGAAATGGTGGAGAGAAATAGAAAGGACAAGGGGAAGCGGCCGATGCACAGGCTGGAAACAAGGGATGCCTATCGCGACCTCCTGGGAACAGTCATTCGATACGACGACAAGCACAACAAAACCCAGCGCAGCCCCGGGATCTAATAAAGAGGTTTCGGCAAACGGTGTTGGCTCAAGGAAAAGGTAGCAGTAGTAGAGGGACCCAGGTTGTCGTTCCACAGTTCCACTGGTTCACAGATGAACAACAACAACAACACCAGACACACAGAATGCAAGTTTCCAGTTTCATGTCGATGAAGCATAGTCTTTGCTTAGGGCTGGAGACCCCCCAGTAGGGGTTAGGGCTTAGGGCTTAGGGTTTAAGAACAACACGGCCCAGAGTAGGTAGGGTTTAAAGTTTTAGAATGCTACCTTCTTCAGCCGAACACAACATACGGTCATTATAGCTGGTTGCTGTATTTGAGGCATCTTTCAGTCTAGATACAGCTAGAATGACCGTACGTTGTATTCGGGGGAAGAAGGTAGGCCACTTAGTTGTAGTATTTCAACTCTGTTTTAGCAGAAAGGATAGTGTACCTTCCTCTTGGCTTTTCCAGTTCCTCGATTTCTTTTGGAGTTATGCACAAGGGGTCGCTGGACCCGGTTTTTCCAGCCAAGCCGAAGCTGGGTAATGGCCCCAGTACCCGGGTTGAGATGTGGAGGGATTCCCGGCCTCCTTTCGCGGAGGGGGGAAAACAGGCAAAACAAACAAAAAAAGGACGAGGGGGAGGGGGGAAAACAGACAAAACAAAACCAAAAAAAAAAGGACAAGGGGGAGGGGGGAAAACAGACAAAA